TAGGAGGAAAACTAAACATGGCCTATGTTAATTTGTTTATGCGTGTGTTTGCTCATGCTCTAAAAAATTTCTGGATCCGCCATTGAATTAGTATCTATTCTAGAGATAATTTCATTTATGAAAACACAAACGTGGATTAATTACAATATCAAATCCAATTATACTACTTTTGAATGTAGATCGATCCACACGACACAAGATGTGTCACGTACGGTGGGAGAATTCTTACTGTAATTTATGATCGAGCATGCATGCACGATGGCAGTGCAGTGTCGCAGTAGTTTGCTGCATGCGCAGGCAGATGCAGCTAAAGCTACTGCTGCAGTTTATGCAGTGCAACCAATGAACAGGAAATAGCTGCATTCTTCTTTGCGTTTGTACTGCAGGTGGTCCATATATCATATCGAAAGCCACCATGCACGTAACGGTTTTGTTGTGCACCTCGTAAAAATCGATTCACTATGTATAACATATATGTGCTGTGTCCATCTTCACAGGCAGTGCAATTCTCGCACTGTCGCACTGATATGTCTATACCTACAAATCTGTAATGCACACATTAAATAATTAATTAATGGATACACTGAGAGACAAAAGAAAAAAAAAGGAGAGGCAAATTTGGTTTTGTTTGGAGAACTTGAGATTTTAATAACCAATAGGTAAGTATCTAGCGTCGAGAATATGAAAAGTTAGATTTGCATCTTCAGCAGGGTTCTACTTTCTAACTCATTTTCTAAATTTTACAATTATAAATTACCAAAATACATATAAGTACTTGACAATTGTGAGAGCCGAAGATTAAAGAAAAAATTGCAGATGGTAGAATCTCCTCCAAACACCTTTATGTTCATCATTCTCTGCACATAGAAATCTAATATTTTCTTTACCCATTAGTATTGTAACAATATACACATTTTTGCTAATTCGATGTCGGTAAATATGCTATATCAAACTCGGGTAATTTAGAAATACCAAGCGTAAAAAATCTGAATGTATACCAACAGCAAGACAGTAAAAAAAAAACCCAACTAAATGCATGGTACTAACATAGTACATTTGCATTAGTTCAGTGAGAACAAAATGGTAGCTAGTTTAGCTCATCGCGTATAAATGTTAGGCGCATGGGCATACAGTATCGCTGCTGTTGCTGATTATACCGTGTAGGTATGAAATACGTACGAACCAACTGGTAGCTAGCCTCATGCAAATATGTCAGAAATTCTGCTGCAAAATTCACGTGATCTCTGCCGTTAATTCTCGGCCGTACATTTCCCCAGATCCTTTGTAGTGATCGATCCATCGAAAAGAGAAGTTTCACCTTACCAACAAACTGATATATTATTTTATTTTATTTTTTTGAAATGAAATGTGAAGTGACACATGAACCCATATAATTAGGTTGGGTTCTTTATATATATACCAATATAAAAATAACTCTTTTTTTGGTCCACTTAATCTATCTGGCGATTTTATTTAATTAATTATAAAGTGTGTTGTACGTGCCATGAGCATTGGATCCTTGCAATGGAAAGACAAATGAGACGCATAGGGCAGCCCATGATTGTCACGTATGCACATGGCCCCACATGATATCCATACCCACATGAGAATGCGACTGCATGTGGGCCCACCTCACCTCACCTTTGTAATATATATATTCTCATTCTCATTAGTTCATAAAACTATAAATATAATAAATTAATAATTATCATTAACTTTTTGTATTAGTCCCCATCTTGGATACTAAAATAATAATTGGTTATGCACCGTTCGACAGAAAGATTATGCATGTTCACAAAGTGGAGATCCGTATTAAGTCATCATGCTGCATGTGAGCCAGCTTTACAAAAACAAAACAAAGAACCATATATATGTACAATCAAATTAAAAGGGCAGGTTATAATATGAAAATTTTTGTTAAATCTGAATTTTTTCATATCTCTGTTCCATCGTATTATAATCTCTTTCGTAATCAAAATTTTTTAAGTTTAATCAAATTTACAAAAAATATAGCAATATTTCTAATATAAAACAAACATATTATCAAGTATATTCGATGTTACATTTATTTAAACTAATTTGGTATTATAGATGTTGCTAAATTTTTATGAACTTAATCAAACATAAAAAAAATTTAATAAGTAAAGAAATCAAAATGACTTATATAATATAAATTAGGACATATGAAATAAAAATGCAGCTAATATATTAGCGGGCAAGAAAAAAAACCTTGCAGTATATCGCTGGATTCAGGCTTGGAGGATCAATGCCAATATGCCCCCACAACATATAGTAATGCACACAACATGCACGGTACGACACTTGAATTGCTAAACTATTGGAAGGTTTTAATTGAGAGCAAGCAAGCACAAGCTGGATATACAAGCCAATGAATTCCGGTCAGAAAAAAGCATGGCCCATTTTTTTTCCCCTTATCATAAATGGTGACTTGATGAATAATCAATGCCAAAGGGTGTCAAAGCAAAAAAAAACTGGTTAATTAATTGGGCTATTAATTAGAATTTGGAAAGGCTAGAATTAATTTTTTAAAAATTGAAGGCTTGGAAGAAGCCAAGCTACTGATCCCATGTGGCATCACTCACTAGCCTTTGTTGTGTCCAACCAACCCTGCATTGGTGTGGGCCGGATGGAAGGAATTGAGAGATCTGGTCCTCACTTCCCTTCTCATCCAAGCCAGTGGCATCCCAATGTAATTTTTTCACAATTGGAGGGTAAAGTTTTCTCCTCCAGACACATATCCTCGTCGTTTTCTTGACAGAGATAAAGTTAACAAAAGAAAGGCATTGCCGCATGCATTTCACTGCAAGCAACATCAGTTAGCTAAAGAAGAAAAAAAATTCTGTTTATAGTTAGTTTGTTTAAGTTAATTACTCCAAGTTGTAGGAGTGTTATTAGTGCAGCTAGAATGCAAAAAACAAAACAAAAGAAAAGGAGCTGTGAATTTTCCTTTCTGAATTGATATATAGTGTGTCATCAAATGCATCTTCTTCGTCTTCTTAAAAAAAAAGAATAAAAAGAAGAAGAAAAGAAAGTAGACTACCATGCACTACTAGTGGATTTGTTGGCTCTACATCACCGGCCTGTCTTTATTCAGAGAGAGGCTTGCTTCTACGCAAATCCTACTCCAAATTAGTCCAATCTACTACAATAATACTAGTCTGCAAGATTTGAAGAAAAACAAAACGAAGAGATAATACTAGTATTCCCTCCACTACGTCTCAATTAGCATGCAATTGCTAAGTCCACAAACTAATTACAATTAAGACCACCCATTTTTCAACTTTTAAAGAAAGAGATAAAATCTTTACCATATATGCAGGGACCCCACACACAGAGAAGTATGACCTCATGCTAAGATTTGGTTTGATCAGAGCAAAGCAGAAGCCCAAATCGTCGGTGTGTTCTTTAACAGATACCAGTACTAGGCTGCAAGCTTCTTGCAAGTGCCAACCTTGCATAATCCTTTGCAAAAAAATTTTCCACCTCTCTTTGCTGTATTTTGCTTTATGCCCAACCCTACTAGGTCTGCTAGAAGCACACACATACACACAGTGTATTGCATGCAAGTACTGCAGCCAACCACCATATATTCCAAGCTGTTAAGGTGTTTGTTGATGGGTTGATGCAACCACACAAACCATGCAAATATGCTGCTTCCAAGCAACCCCTTTTGCAGTTTCCATCTCAATCTCTTTTTGTACAGTACTACCTTACCTTGTGTTGCATGCAAGGTGTGTGCCTTTTTGGTTTACCATACCACTCTGTTATAATTATTATTCTCCCTCACACCATCATTGCCTGCCCTACTTGCTTGCTTGCCTCTATGTGTTTTCTCTTGTCTCTCACAAGATATTATCATTGGGTTTCACCATAAGGCTAGGGGCAAAAGGATGTGTTTGCATCAATGTAGCAATGTTCATGCATGCTCCACACCACAGGCATGAGGGGGTTGAGAATGTAGCCAAATGTTCATGCTTTCCTATGTGAGAGAACAAAATCTCATGATATGCATGCTTCAATGTTGGTTTCATGCTAACCATATGAAAAAAAAAAGTTCTCTTTATGCTCCTACCAACTAATAACTTATTTTGGCTGGCATATTTATCATAATTAAAACCTCTCTATGTGGTAATGCTTTATTCTTATAAATAGTGTTAAATCCATTTAATTATGTTATTGCATCTTAGGAGTCCACGACATCCAAATAACAGACTCAATTTAGATGAGCCTAATTGGAAAGGTTCAATGTTCTCTCTGAGTGGTAGGCTTTAGATTACATCGCCATAAGTAATTTGAAAGGGAAAAAAAATGTGTTTACCACAAAGACACAAACATAGTGAGTATGCAAAACTTGCACATGAATATAGGAATGTAGAACATAAATGGTGATATTTAATTACAAGGCAAATATCACTTATTTAAGTTTTAAAAAGTTCCATATTTTTCTACATAGGAGGAATTTCCGACATAACAAATTGCAGCTTTAACATTTGCGTATCGTAGTACTACCATACCAGTGCACCATTGCGTTGCATCATCCAGTTATCTTGCTAACGAAAAGGAAATGTCATAGTCTAAAAGTAAACATTTTCAGATGAAATATTGGAGAGTAAAACAAGAGCACAATTCAATCTTTTAAAAAAGTAACTTTAAAATATTCCAACAGTATAATGGACAATTTAAAACCTATTTACATCTCCAAATAACCCAATAATAAAACCACACACAAAAGACCTTACAAATCCCCTCCTGCATCACATCTCACCACTCCAAATTCTCCAATCAGATAGTGGAAAAAATAAAACACCAATTTCCACTCCATTTATTTGTTCCTTTTTTTCTAACAGGCACCAGCAAAAAGGCGCGCATGCAGTAATTAATCAATTAACTAATTAACTCACCCCATGTAAAAACCGTTTTAACTTTTTTTTTCTCTTTTCCTTCTCTCTCTTGGGCGACTATTTAACAGCCATGGCGCTACCGCCTCTCGCCCTCGCTTGTCTTCTCCTTCCTCTCGCCTCGCCTCCCTTGCACTCAACCACGCCTTGATCTCCCACACGCGAGCCAAGAATTCGCGCGCCCAGATGAGCTCCCCGGCCGCCGCGCCGCCCGGCGACCTCGTCCTCCCGCCGCTGCCGCCGATCAAGACGACGGCGCCGCCGCCGCCGCCTGCGCGGACGTCGTCGTCAACGGCCTCGCCGGCGCCGTCCGACGAAGCGAGGGCGCCTCTGAAGAAGGAGGAGGAGGAGGAGCCGACGACGCCGACGTCGGAGGAGAGCAGGCTGCGTGCGCCGACCGTGTGCCCGCCGGCGCCGAGGAAGCCGGCGCGGACGGCGAAGAGGAAGTCGCCGCCGCCTCCGTCGTCGTCGCCGTCGCCGTCGACGCTGGTGTTCTTCCCCGTGCAGCGCGACCTCGCCGCCGTGTTCCGGTCGCTGCCGCCCAAGAAGCGGATCCGCGCCGGCTGATGATGATCTCTACCCACCCACACATCGCCGCCGCCGCCGGAGCAGCACAATTGGGCGTAAATTATGGGGCTCCATGGTTCGATCCATCCACTTCCTCGGTGAATTCTTGGAGTTCTTGTGATCTTCTCTTCCTTCTCTGCCACTTTTTTTTCTTCCTCTCTCTCTCTCCTCTGGTTCTTGCATGGTTCCCACGGCCATGGTATAATTAATTTCTGGTGCAAATAATGTGTTGTTTTTTTTAGTTCTTTTTTCTTCTTTTTTTAGAAGGCTTGTGTGAAGAAGAAACTGTAGAATTATTTATAGGTGAAATGGGGAAAAAAAGGAGAAAGGAGTTGTAAGAGAAATTCCCGGAGATCTTGTTAATTATTTATTAAGTATAGTTAAATTCACAGCTCTAAGATTTACATGCTCAAATTCCTCTTCTGATGTTTCTCTCTGTTCATTGAGCCTTGGTTCTTGTGCCAAATTTGCCTCAAATTTATTTGAACCACACAGGGAAAGAACTATAGGTAACATTGTGACAAATGGCATAACACTTGGGGTGGACCCAAGAACAAACAAAGATCTGCCAAATTTTAACTGAATTCTGACATTGTGTTTAGGCTGCTGATCCAGAATTAGTGGAGCTAATTGAGTGATTCAGGTTAGTAAGTACTACCACTTACACATGTATGTGAAAAATGTGTCCATTGTTTGAGGTGAAGAAAAATCCAGAGGGTGTGTGTGGTCTGTGGATGTATGTACTTGTGGTTCTTTTGTCCCTGCAGCAGCAATACTGGTGTGTGAGGATGATAAGCCAACAACACTGCAGAGAGAATCTTCTATTCATGAGAACAACAAGACATGATCTTTCTTTCCCCCCATCATCTCTGTAAATTTCTAGTAGTCCTGTGTTGTCTTTTTTAACACACCCCCAAACAGTACAGTAATTTAACCTTCTGCTGCTGCTGCTGATGATGATGATAATGTTCAGCTAACCACACAATTGACAGGTGATAGATAGATGAGCCAAGTTTGGCTGTCATTGTGACACTATCATGTCACGGGCAAATGGAATTATGGAAGGAGAAGAAGGAGGAGGTGAGAAACTGTGTTATTGATGATGATCCGGTCCGTCCGGGAGGGAGAAAGAAACGGAAGGTGAAGCTTTGGATGGGTTGGGGTCACATGGGCAGTTACAGTTTAGCAGTTACAGACAGCCCCTGCCTCCTCTGGAATAGGTCTCACCACCTCCTTGTTTCAGGAAACAAAAGCCATCATGGGTCTCAGTGAGTGAGAGAGAGCAAAGGAGAAGGCATCTTCTTCTCCTTTGGACATGCAATGCCTCTGCATTTTTCACTGCATTTTGCATTGCATTTTGGCCTTTTTTTTTTTTGGGGGGGGGGGGGGTCTCAACTTGTGCATTCCTCTGCATTTTTGCATTGCATTGAAGAAGAGGAGGAGTGGTTTGTGTGTGGTGGTTGCGTGTTGTGGTAATGAAATGTGGAGAAGAGATTCCTGTGGCGACATGGGCATGTGCAGGGGATATCAAAGTGGTAGGCGAGTACACGGCAAGAGAAGAAAGAAAAGCAAAGCAAACCAAGGCTTCTCTGTAATGCTAATGGCTATACATGCTCTTCTCCTCCAATCATGAGCTGCAACTGACATCCTGCAATTTACTAATTACTAGTACTATTATACTGCCATTGGTGATTAATTAACCTTTTTTTTAATTTCGTGGTAAACTTGGTTGAATCTTGCGGCTGTCACTGATCAGGGATTCATTCATGGTTAAGATTCGGTTTAACTACATGTACAATTTGTGTGATTATAAGATGGCAACTTGGCACCAAAGAGTTGGTGAGCAGAACATGAGAAAAAACCTGTAAAAGAAAGCGATAGAACCAAGAAATTAAAACGGCAGGTCGCCGTATAACAAAACAGAGCTGCTTTGCTGCTAATAATGAATTAGCAACTGTGTGTCTGCAGGTGGATTTGGTTGTGCCACCACTAACCCTAATTAAAACCGGCGATGAATGTCAGAGACGGTGAACAAGTCAATGGGGGCAAGTAGATTATCATCTCTGAATCTCATCTCACCTTCTTATCTGCCACTACAACTACAACATCATCAGTATATACAATGTACAAACCTAGGATTCCTGGGAATGAGATAATGCGCTGCGTTGACATTTTCTGAACCTTTGCACGAATGAACCGTTGCAACAGCAGTAAAAGAAAAAAAAATATTGTCCTAACCATCTTAGCTCTGCACCCAGCGTGCGGGGTAATTAAGAGCAGCAGTAGTATGTACTACCTGGTGAAGCAGTAAATATACTCCTAATTAAGGGGGGAGATTTCTACTACCCCTGCAAGCCTAGCTTGATGTACTACAACATTCTCTCTGACAGACGCAGCCACACACCATTATCCTCCACTTGTTTACCGTAAGCTGATCAAATCTGTTCAGAGATCAGATCATTTAAACTGTCTGCTAGCTGCGCTGATTAATCAGGCTGTGTTCAGTGGTCATTGGCATGTACTAGTAGTAGTAATAGATCTAAACAATTTCGATCAACCAAAGTACAACACATCTTCTGATTACCAATGTGTTTTCACCATCTCTGGTTGCATCATTGCAGACATGTACATTGCAGATAAAGATAAGATGATTAACTAACCAATTCTTTCTGTGTGTTTTTTTTAAAGGGTGATGTAAGCAGGATTTGGATCTGAGACTGAGACTAGTGCCATCTTTCACTTTAAGCTTACTACTACTATACTACTGCTGCCTTTTGCATCCAATGCAAGCATTAACCACCTCCTCCCATATGATTCTCCCTCAATAAGTTAATTAAAAAATTGTTGTTGGGTTAAGACAGCTTGTGTAGATCCAAAATGTGGCCACTTTAACCCAACTACTACCATCCATCCATCCTTGTAGTACCCTCTACCTTCCAACCAGCTTCCCTTCCATGGTAGATAGCCACTATTTGGCCAAGGTATCTTTGCATGTTTATGCATCACTACTTGTACGTATCCACAAAGCAAAAAACCCTGTGATATGCTACAAGATCCTTGTACATGCAGCACGGCTCATTTTGATGCATGGAATCCCATGGCATTTCCCTTTTAATTGGATGGAAGTATGTTTGAGGGAGAGAGTTTTACAGAGGATTGCATTGCACGGATCTTAAAGCAAATATCTGATCTTCGTTTTTTTAAAAAATGTAAGAAATGTTGTTAGTATTCGAACATGTCGTTGAAATTCAGACGGGAATCGTGGGTCCAAAGATGTCTTCCATTTATTTTTGTTTGTATATCTTTTTTTTGCAAAATAAATAAATAAGTGTAATACTATATGAAATTTCATTTAAATTTTTATTTGATCTGCATATTAATCTGTTTTATATTTGTTGATCCATTCTTGCCAAGTGGCAACAGAGATGCAAATGGGGGTTGTAGTGAAGTGACATGAGTAGAGGAGATCCACTATCACAGCAGGAGTGAGTTGCCTGCATATGGATGGATGATCGAAGTATGGCAGATCTAGAAGGGAGCATACAACAAACATCAGCTGATCTGTGTGTGAGACTGACAGAGTTGGCTCCTGCAGTTAGTCATTGATCACTGGGACCCACATGCACATAAAAAAAACTTGAAGCACACACAAGCTGCATCGCTGTGTGTTGCAGGGCTTGCAGCACTGTAGTACTTTTGAGCCTCTCCCAGGACAGATTGGGTGGAAAGTGAAGTGAAGCGAAGCAATCAGATCTCAGTAGAACCAAAAGCAAAATGCACACCATTTATACTAGTAGTACAAAGCTCAAACAAAACACATTATAATAAGATAAAAAAAAGTAATTAAAAGTACAATTAGTTCCATATTTTTTTCTCTTAAAACATACTCCAAATATTTTACCAGTTGTGCCAATGCAGCTAGCTACCTGTGATGTGTACTTTCAGCAAGGTATAATAGCAGGGTACTACTAGCTAACACTATCACCTTTTTCCTCCTTCCATCTTAAAACTGAAGCAACACTCATGAGGGTTGATCCCCGGCCTGAGTGAGTGGCACAATTCCATATCTTGATACTCAAGCAATGCCATGTTCCCCTGGCCTCCTCTCTTTGAGACTTTTTTTTAGCCTTTTGACCACTCACATAATAATGCCTTTTGGGCAGTATACAGTACAGCTGCAAGCACACACAAGAAAGAGACCAAAGGATAGATGCATAGGATGCCATGGCAACCAACAAGGTGGTGTCACTCACTCACATTCTCACTCCTATCTAGGATGATCCTCTCCTCTGCTGCTGATGACTGCATGTTAGGAGAGTACTAGTAAAACTAAACCAAAAGCCTGCAGCTGGAAAGGCTGTCAACTGATGCTTCTCTTCTCTTCTTCCTCCCCCACCATCCTATGTTGCCTTCTTTCTTTCTTTTTCCTCCTCCAAAGTTGGATAGGATAGATCCATCTCTCTCTCTCTCTACATCATGATGTGGAGCAAAATAGATAAATCGAACATGCATCTCTATGTGCTGGGAAAGATACCTCTACAATGCACAAGGGGCCGCCTTGGAATTCGGGCAAAGTATATGCATTATGTGCCTTTTGTTGGTTTAGAGGTTGTTTTAGCTGCTGTGTATGGTTGGTAATACAGTTTAACACAACATGTTGCATCTCCATAAGTTGTATGGATTGTTAAATAATCCTCCCTCTGTATTTAAAGGTACTATTGAATTTATTTGATCAAACTTTTAAAACTCTGACCATCGATAGTCCTTAAAATATCTCAAAGTATTTAGTTTGAAAATAAAAAGGATCATATTTAGATTTTCTTTACAAACAGTTTTACAATATTACAATTTTGTTAGATATTATTGTTATAGAAAACAATGGTTAAAGTTGCACATAAAACCAAATTAATAAAATTAACAGTGCCATATATTTAAATAGGGACTAACTTTCCCTGAAAAAATTCCCTTAAGAAAAGGGGCTAACTATATTTATGGTGCCAAACTTTTTAACAATAATCATTTTTTATATTATAAAATATATATAGTTACACTCTAATTACAGTATAAATTTAAATACTTATACATTGTAAATGTTAATATTTACATTGTAATTTTTCTAATACTCACTGTATATACTATATGACATTTAGGGCTAGGAATGATTATTTACTAATGTAAAAGAGAAAAAAAAACAAAGAGATAAAAGGGGAGGGAACCATGCGCACCGAGATAAGCGTATCGGACGGCCACACCTTCGACTAAAATCGGACGCAAAAACATGACGACAGATTTTTAGTAATGTGATTTAAATATATACCGAGATAGTAATAAATAGGTAAAAGTACTTACAAGCTGCTATTGTAAATTACGGCTGTAAGATGGACACTGCCGAATTGTGAAATTGTGAATGTACA